CAGTAACACTATAAAGAGTCAACAACAAAATACATATACTCGAAATGTAACCAGACTTATTAAACAAGATCGGGAACACTCCTATTAAATATATTTTTTTATATACTGATATATTGATGATAGAATCTCTATTTTGCTAGCATGTTCGTTGTAGGATAACATCTTCATCCTTTATAGTCTAAATTGCATTCAGACATTAAGCATTCTGTTGAAAGATAAATTAGAATAAAAAGCAGATGCTCAACGCAGACAGATTTAGATATGGTATTTATCAGGTTAGATAACATTAGAGTGGCAACCTTATACACAAAACCTTATTCAAGTGCACAAATGCCCCGTTATGATACCACAGATAAGACACTGTCCGTACGTTAAACCTGAAGAACCACAGAAGTCCTCAATACGAACAACTCTTCTATGCAATTAGAAGGGAGCCAACCTAACAAGTCTATGACTGTATCACTAATTTTTAAAAAAAAGGTGGTCCCTTTGAAATTTTTTCTAGCTGACACATTAGGTGTAGTACAGTTTCCTCCTCATCCGTAGAGTTACAAACACGACAAAGAACGTCGTATCCATACAAGTACAGCTTCCTTATCCACAGAGTTATAAACCCGAGAAAAAACGTCGTAACCATACAAGTACAGCTTGAATTCAACTTCGCTTAAGTGGTGGTGGATTAAAAGTAAAAAATAGATAAAACACTTTATTAGTTACTCAAATTAATATACAAAAAACAATTTTACATATAACTTAATTTATAAAGAAATTCCATCATAATCGAATAAAAGTTTATATGACAATATTAAAGCTTTGTATATTAAAATTCATTTCAATAATTGAAAAATAATATATAATCAAAACGTTTGTATATAGATACTATACAATACCACTTCATTGCATTGCATTGATACCAAAATATTTGTACAAATTTATCTTTTATTTTTTGGTAAACAACGAAAAAAATGTTGGCTACTGCATGCAGTCCAATCAGTCCAATAAAAAAATAAGTTTTTGATGCTTGTCACTTGGCAACATTTTTGTGTTTTTCTTTGGAAAATATTTTCACAATAAATATATTCATATATGTATGTATAATATAGATATATTGAAGTCACTTTATTAGCTTAAGATATTTGTATGCAATGTGCCTAAAAACGGTTTAGGCAATTTTCAATTTTCAATTTCACTCTGACTTATTGCACAATTCCATACGGAATTGCTGGAAGTTACGTGATTCAATGCGAATATCGCTACTATACGTATACCTCGTTAATGGGAAATAACTCATTTATATTGAGCTTAAACGTTGCGTCTGACTGTTAACATTTTCTTGGTTTTATTTTTTTAATACTTTCCATTAATACAGAAAAACAAAACTGCCTGTAGACTTAACGCTTCGCTGGCTACTTTTTTCAAACTATTCCCGACAAACTTCAAAACTAAAATAAATTAGTAGCAAATGTCGAGAACGAATAGAACTCAGTCATATGCGTCGTGCAAGCTGGGAATGAGTTACAGTCAGCTGATTTTTAGCATCTTAAGTAGTTTTTGTTCTGCACGAAGGGTCGATACAGCTACACAACCAGAAAAACTTCAAAAAATTTCAATAACAAGCAAATAAAGGTAAAGATACGTTATAATAAAGAACTGAGAAGAAAACTCATATTTCAGGATGCACTCAATAACAACATAATAATTACAAAAAGAAAACAAAAATATAACCAGTCATATAGACTTGGATATTACTTAAAAATTATATATAATAATATATATAGAATAATATATAATATATTATTTTAATATAATATTATTACTTGCAGTCTCAAAAATAATTATTTACGAATGTTGTAGGACTGCGACCGTCGGGTCTATTGTGCCCCATTCTGGGCTTAGAGTAGATCTTTAAGCCCTGTTGCGTCAATAAAAAGAAGTATAGAACCTATTTTACAGAGTTTTATTGCCTCTTTCGTAAGAATATACATTCCTAGGACCCTATTTCGTATGTGCATTAGCGCAGGGCATTCTAACAGCACATGTGTGACCGACTCCTTATTCTCTTCACAGAATCTACAGTTTGCATCCGTAAGTATACCCAGTTTTGTTACGAATAATTAAATACCAGAATTATTTCCAAGACCACTGATGATGGGTTTTTGGCAATACTCGAAAGAGCTGTATGGTCAGCCAAAAATTCAATTAATTAAAATAATATAAAAAATTAAAATTTTTGTTGTTGTAGTTCACTACTATTCGAAAAAACCTTTTTATAATATTATTATTATAATATATTATTATTATAATATATTATTATTATAATATATATTAATAATATATATTATTATTAAAATATTTATTATTTAATATATTATTATTATAATATTATTATTATTATATTATAAACATCCATAACTTTACAACTATAGATTATATAAACTATATAGTATATAAGTATTCAATTTTCATAGTAATAATATATTTTTAGAGAAAGTGAGTACTTTCATTGCTACTGCTGAAGTAGGTATACAAATCAAGTCAAATCATTAATCACATTTCAAGCATGTGATAATAGAAGACACGATACATGCGCCTAATGGGAAATACAATGTCAGACCAAAACCCGGCAAAGCGTAATTGCTACTTTAGTAAGTATTGCTTTAATATTACTTGACTTTTAAAAACTAAAATTCATTTCTTTAGTAATATAAAAATAAAAATTGTGTATATTTTTATTGAAATTTTTATAATATTGAAATTAATTTTATTTATTAATTTCAAAATTCATTGAGAACTTAAAGGGTTCCATACTTGTTCATTTACAGTAAAGTCTTTTTACTGGAATTTACCTATATATTTTTTTTTCTACTCAATATTTTATATATATTACGGTTAATAGTAAGCAAAAACATTTTTATTTTTTTGTTTCATTTTTGACTGTGATTTTAAATCATTTATTTGAGTTTATATTACAGCTTATATACTTATTTACAGGTAGTTTAATTAGTTTCCAGTATAATTATAGGCAACAGACATTTTGAGCATTTGTTTAATAAACGTTTGTGATTGCAATCCTAAAAAAAATTACTAAATAAAAAAACATTGAAGTCTCATATACTGTTCATCAAGCTCAAGAAAAAACCAGATCATCATCGGGTCTCACTCGTCATCAATCAAGTACGGCTTACAAATTCTGTTAGGTCACAATTTGAAAGAATAACAAACTAAACTGGCTTACAAAGAAACGGGAGGAAAAAATCCAGGTGACAACAATGTTCGGGTCTGACACGTCATCAATCAAGTACAGCTTACAAATTCTGTTAGGTCACAATTTGAAAGGATGTAGTTTGTCATTCTGGCTAAAGGAACGATAGAAAAAAAATCCAGGTGACAACAATATATTTTTTATCAAATCAGTTTCTTAAATATATATACTTTAATATTTAAATATAATATTTGAATATGGTATTTATATAATATATTTTCATATAATATTTATTTATATATTTTTTTTGGTTTTATCTAACTAAAAATCATATAGTGTTTTCTTGAGATTCCAAATACGAGTAGTTTAATGGAACTGAAAATAAATTAATAGTACCGTTTTCATGATGCAATAACTGAAACTACCAACATAAATTGTACCGCCTAGCAATTCTAAAGGACCATTGATAACAGACCAAATAACCGGAACAATAAATTCTATGAGACGTTAAAGCATTAAATAACAATGCCAGCAAATATGCTTACAACAATAAAGGTGGATATCGTAAATAATGGAAAAGCCGTGAGCACACATAATGAATCAAACAATAGCTAATGTAAATTCAGGAAAAACGGTGCGGTGCTCAACCGTAAACATAAGGACATATCATATTGCACACTCAAATGGTATGTGTATGAGTAAAAAGTGGAAATGTTGCGCCTGTGCCTAAAACAAGATAAATGTTCTTCAGAAGCATGCTTAGCACCCTTAAAGTATGGAATGGTGGTTGCAGGTCAAAAACAAAAACAAACACGGCCAACTAAGAACAAATTTCGCTAGATATTATATATGAGAATGCCGAGAATACTTTAACATAAAATTGTATCTGCAGTACATAACCTCTGTTGTCGGATAATGCACACTTACACATTTGGACTAGATATCATGGCAAATATCTTACCTTTGCAGTGTTGTCCAGTCATTGAATGCGGTTTTCGTTGAATTGACCCACTGGAATACGGTGGAATATTTATACTAATTTTATATTCTGTAAATTTTACTTTTAATAGTTTATAACACGCATCAAATGTAAAGAAGCACGTGCTGCACAGATGCGTTTGCCGCATGTGTGAATGTTTACATTTGCTTGAATGCACAAATTTATAAAGTCATACATATGCTCTACTCTACCACTGAAAAGATAGATGAAGTTTTGGATGTGAATTCAGTTTTGGGTTTACATTAGCAATATTAGATTGGTAAGGGAGAGGTGAAAGGAATATTTCCATTTTTGTTGGTTGTAGATTTTGAAAATCATTCCAATTATACAAATGCAGATGTTTGGTATTTTTTTTTCCTTGATTCAGAAAAGAAATAGGAAAT